TCCTTTGGGATCCTTTTGGATCCTTTGGGATCCTTTTGGATCCTTTGAGATCCTTTTGGATCCTAGGATCTCAAAGGATCCAAAAGGATCTAAACTGGGATCCAAAATGATCCGAAGGATCCAGGAGGATCCAAAAGGATCCAAAAGAATCCAAGGATCCGAGGATCCGCTTTTCCCCCCTTGTATATATATAAATAGAAAACTTTTCATCAGAAAAAAAACGAATTTTGGCATCTACTGAAGTGTTATTATAAACAATGGTGTTAGTGTGGGTGTGGATTTCGATTGATTCTAACAAGAAGACCCACACCATCTCCCGCACCAACACCCTCTTTTGAATCATGTCATTTTTATCACGGTGTGGGTGTGTTTGGGTGTGAGTGTGAGTGTGGATGTTACTGTTATCATTGATACCTACATCGACACCCACACTCATCCACACTCACACTCACACGACGTATTTACGCAATATCGAAATTCAAAATGATTTTTCCATGCTTTTATCATACAAAATAAATTTTAGTCATCCATTAGTATGTCGTTGTCATTGTTCGACCGTATCGAAAGTTCGTTGAACGCTAAAATCCTCATCTCATTGGTACTTACCCAACATATCAAAGAAACAATGAATGATCATTTTTTAAAATACGTATGACCCCCCCTCCCCCTCCTTAGCTTACTCGAATGAATCCAGTGATGAATCTGATTCGATGCGATCGAATTCGAGCAGTCGTCAAAATCATATTGGAATCCTGATCGCGGAACTAATTATTTCCTGATTGGACAGGAAAATACTAATTTATCATTTGCTGGCCAACTAGAACCTTATGACATCGTTACATGTCTGTCAGAGCCCTATGTCAGATTTAATTAAATCGATCAGATTCAAATCATACGGATCCGATTGTAGTTATTCAATCGGAATCCTGATAGGAATTCGTCGATTGTATAAAAATTGATCATGAAATTCGATCACATCCGACTGTTGGAATGAATATCCTCAACAGTCTCATTTCGATTCCACGTAATCACACATATCAGGCAAACAAACAAAAGTCAACTGATTTGAGCATATATTCATCTCTGCATATTTTCTACGTTAGTATTTGCTCATTTTAGGGTGTAAAAGAAAGTTTGTTCTTTATTTTTATACAATATTATGCGAGTGAAGTACAACTATTGCATACTATGACCATCAAAGCTACGAATCTGTTTAAATGGATGAAAGATTTCGTTAAAAATGAACATACTGATTATGGTGAATTCTCTCGAGAAAGATACAACAAATATCTGAAAGGTTTAATGTATTTGATCGTTTATCTAGCAACAATATAATTTTAGAAGTAAAGTATCATTTATTTAAAAACAAAGAAAACGCATTTTCAATAAAAAGGTATGCTGTACATGTGAAACGTGTTCGAAAGCCATTTGATATCGTGTTGGTATCGATAGAAAAAATGTCTGTTGTAGACACATACACGAATCTTTCTGTCTTGACTCATGTATCCATGCTTGAAAGTGATCTTTCTGAAGACGAAAAAACCACTATTACGATTCGACACAGTGTTCCTCATCGTTCATCCCATTAAATATTGTTAACGGAAATGATCACGCGGTCTACTTGTTTCAATTAAATTTACTTGAACTCATTATTGATCCATGATTATCCTAAGATTTGCAAATTCATATCTGTACGGTAGATTATCTTACTGAGTCATTCTGAATATTTCCACACTACACCAGCATGCTCATCAATGTTGCAACACTTTATTCATGGTACCAAAGCCATTTTATCTAACCAGATCGCCAGTGAAGCTCTTTTGATATGGAATGAGTCATGTCTCCAATATAAATTTAAATACTAATTTGGTTTTCAAAATATGATTTAACCGCCCATATAATCCAAAATTTGTAACCTTTGTTCATTGATGTATCATGCCTTGTTCAACTTACAGAATAATTACCATTCAAAAACATATTTCATGGTGCTCCAACATCTTCAGAAAGATGTATGTAACCATATCATTCCAAACGATGACATAAATGCTGGTTGTCACTGTCCGTGTCTACGTCACAGCAATTCAAAATAGCTCACCTCATCCTAAGTGATCTTGTGCGAATGACTTTTAAAGTCGTCTATTATGAATGTTTGGTTGATTCTCACTATGGATGCAACGATTTTGAAGCACACACAATAAGGATACAATGTTCGATTACAACCTGTACACTCGTCGGATAGTAGATATGTATTGAATCCAGTGTAGTCAACACCAACATATATATCGATAACAAGTTTTTGATGATTGTGCTCAGCAACTAGTAATCTAATACGAATTATCAATCAAACATATAAATGACTGTCGAACACGTGCGACGTATAGAACAGCATCATACATCAGTGATAGTGTTCAAACTGTTCATCTTCGTATGCTAACCATACTATAGATTTTAGAAATTGTCAAAGTTGATTGTGTATGAAAATGCGGTCGCTAAATGTCTAACATGTGACACTTTTCCAAGAAGATACAAGTATAAAAGTAAAAGAGCTTCAGAAGAACAAAAAAGAACAAGAAATTCAATATTCATAAAAGCTGCAAGAGAAGAGCTCGACAAAAAAGCGCGCTAATACAATAAAATAATCTGGTAGGCACACAACAGTGGCGAAGTATATGAATTATAATATTCTGTTTGAAAAACTACGCAAGCATGAACCAAAATGAGTAAAGACTAAAATAGACCTGCGACATGCTTATTAATGATGACCTCTTGCTAGAAAGGTTTATAAATAATATAAAGAATGTAGATAAAGACGAAAGAATACACGAGAAAGAGGAAAACGCTGACATCAATATCAATGCAGACGATAGCATTGACTAAACTTCTATTAAACAGAAATATCTCAAACAGTATTTCTTTAGTTAATAACCAGAATAGTTGACAGTTACTAAACATCTTACTTTTCTTTGGAAATGAATTGTTATCTATGTAAAATAAATAAATTTTAAAACTCGATAAAATGATGCCGCACTTTTATTGGACATACATTTGTGTTTATTCTTCCTACAAAGTCACTTCAATGATTAGTTGATGTTATTCCAGGGTTTGATAGTCCATAGTGTCCTCTAGCAAAGGCCAAAGTATGACTATAAAATAGCCAAAAGACCGTTGCAAAAGAAGTGATTAACTGGACAGACTCTTATCTTGAATTTTACATCAAAGTATTGTAGATCTCATGACGCATCATCAGCAATATTGTTGGAAAAATTCAGCTGTCAAATTATTTTTTTTTTGTTTTAAATTATTTATTCTCATAGTTGTGCATCGCCGTTCGGGCAATATGAATCAGTTGATCCTATTTGATTTTTCTCTTTCATCATTTATTTATGTTCGTAGTAATCGTTAGCTTTTTCCGAAAAACGGAAGCTAGTTTACTTTGCTACTGTTCGTTTAATTGCGTCAATACTTTAACTGTTTTTTTAACAGAGAAACTGAGAAAGCTGGTTTACTTCTTTTTTTTGTTCTACTTGTTCTCACAGTTGTCGAAGATATTACAGAATCAACAGAATGAGAAAAAACGCTTTTCTTTTCTTTTTTTCAATTGGTTGTTCTGAATATTGCTCAACGTTTTTCTGAGAAAAATCTAACATTAAAACGAGAAAGCTAGTTTACTTTACTTCTTTTTATTTTACTTATTTCAATAGTCGCCGGAGATTTTACATAAAGAACAGATGAAAAAATTGCTTTCCTTTTCTTTTTTTCAGTTGGTGAGAAGGAGTATTGCTCGTCATTTTCTGAGAAAGACCCTAAATGGTTAGTTTTCTCTATTTTTTCTCTTTTATCGTTTTGTTATTTTGAGAGTGATGACACATTTTATAAAGAAAGTCGAGTAACTTAGTATCATGTCTTTTGTGGAACTCGCATATATTTTCGAAGAAAAATAGTGAGTGTAAGTCTTAAGATGAAGTTTTGACGGCTCCTCTCCACTCCCCACGCCCTCCCCATTACAGCACATAGCAACTAGTTTTATAGCCGTTTAGTATTCTCGCTTATGAGAAATATGTGAGTTCCGCATTTCAGCTTCAAAGGAGCTGCGCTAACAAGTTTTTTTTTCTGATAACTATGTTCGCACTTTACCCCATTGTTCTGAGAGATTGTCTTGGTTCGATTACTCTAAAAATCGTTGTCCATATTTGAATGGAACTTTGGCAAGAATATCAATCTTGCTTTCTTTCTTCATTTATTTATTCTGTTACTTCGGTTGTTTTTTATCAGCGAATTAGAATCAGATTATTAAATTTAATTGAATTTTTCTCATTTAGTTATTCTGAGAGTTGTCTAGTATCCTATCGAAATAAACTGAATAAGTTGGTTTTACTTTGCTGTATTAATTTGGAGACGATTTTTCTGGATCTCATGAGAGAAAGTGAATGGTTCATTTAGCTTAATCTCTTTCTCGATTTATATCGGCAAATATTTGACAAGCATTTCATGCGAAAAGTGTGTTTGAGACTCGTATCTACAATCACATCCGCATCCACACCCTTTATTCGTTTGGAAAAGAAGAAAAAAAACTTGAACCCATTCTCGTCTGTCTCTCATTGGCAGCGTTGTAACTATTTCATTGAAGTTGAATCGTTATCATTCTCTTTCAGAATTCTTTACTATTTCTTTCAAGCATACATACTTTACATTTGAAAAGAAACACGTAACCTATACGAGCAAATCAAGGAGGTAATGTTTGAACGAAACTACAACCAATCATTTTGTATTATCCATTGTGTTTCTCGATTAGATGTCCTCTGCTTATCGTCATTCTGCGCAAGCCGATGCGAAACAAGTTGGCCTAGCAGCCGAGTTACGACACGGCGACTTGTCACCCAAGGACAGACGCACGTGCAATCAGATCATTCACAGCGGTGACAAAAATCCTCACCAATGTGGTGATAATCCATATGCCGATCCCACCAAAAGCTACGATCCAAAGGCACAAAAGGCACTGGACCAAATCATCGCAAAACAAAAGAAATAAAAGACTTGACTTGGTAACGCTCCTTATCCTATCGTTGTCTCCTCGTCAATAATCAACTCCTAACACACTAGACAGCTTTTCAACATTGATGATTACATACAAAGAAACTCTAGTTCTTAATAAACGGTTTTCCTTCTTATGGCTAATACTCGTTTCCTTGCAGCTATCAAAGGAGAATCAGTTACTGTAGTCAGTTAGTTCCCGATTAGACATGATGCTCTTATGATGAACACAAAAAAAAAAAGAAATCTTAGTAGCTATTTCAACGGGATGGATGTGGGTGTGTTGCTCTTCTTTCATTGATAGCCACCAACCCCCTCACCTGAGTCAAGTCGAATCGTTGTTCCATCGATGATTTTATCGATTGAATCCAACTTGCTGATAATTCAACCCACGTCTTTCAATCGAATAACATCTTCAGATATGCACAAATAATTTTCTCCGTTTCTAAATGAACCTTTCGGCAAAAAAAATTGATTGTCAAACAGTTTCGGATCATAGCTAGCAATAATATCTGCCGATATGATGTCGAATATTTGTTTGAAAAGGTTTGGAAAATGATGACTAATGAAATAGAATAGAGTACCACGTGGTGCACATATATTGCCTTTTGAAAACTATTCAAATATATTTTTTGGCTGTCTCTTCTTGAAAAGAATAAAAAACAGATACTCATTTATATATCATACTTCAACATTATGTTCTTCTGATCTTTCTTAGTTTTTATGTGAAAGTTAAAGTCATTTTAGAATAGCAAAATTTGTTTGACAGTATTTGGTCAAAAGATCCGTAACGAAAAAAATGTTCATTAGTACTATAGCAATCCACTTCTCTACTTTTATCATATTCATTTATTAAACTTGATATTGATTCTATATAAAGTTTATTTACAATAAATTATTACGAAGATATCAAAATCGTACAGTCAAACAAAAGTTGGAAGTTGATGTAGCGACATCTTTATTTACGTTATCCGTCACTATGATATCGCATATTATTACAAAAACTTATGATTTACTACTTTACTAAACAGGTTCATATTTGAAAAGTCTAAAAAATAATTTGTTCCTGAAAAGACAAACCAGATAGTTCGTCTTATTCATTATCCTCTATGTTCCCATGCCATGTGTTATTTATATAGTGGAAACCTGCCTCTACCCTTTCCATAGGAAAGAAAAAAAAAATGATTCCTGCATAAAAACCAAAAAAAAAAAGAAAATGTCGTTCTTATTCTGCCTTTACTCTATACAAACTATCACCTTGTGATTTTTTTTACATACACTAAAAGAAACTGTGAAAGTAGGAAAAAATAGAGAGATGAAGTTGGAATTGTTACCCGACGAGATTTTACTCGATCTATTCGATTATTTTAATGGTGTTGATCTTCTTCGAGAATTCTATGGTCTTAATAGTCACTTTAATTTTCTTCTCTACAATCAATTTCGAAATTATCGTTTTAAATTTGAAGCTGTGTCGAAACATAATTTCGATATGATATGTCAACAACATTTACCATTTATTGCTAATCGAATTATTGCTGTTAGCCTTACGGGTGATGATGATACTCCAGAACAAATCAATTTGTTTCTTTCATATATAAAATCATTTAATGAATTCATTCAATTACGAACACTTTCATTATACTATGTTCGTTCATATGAAACACTAATGAAAATTTTAAATCAATGTCATCATCTTTGTTATCTCACTCATTTAAACATCTCTGATTGTTATTTTCGAGCTAATCAAGTAGATTTTCAATTACTTATCAATAGCATTTGGAGTTTACCTAAACTTATTCATTGCAATTTTGCAATTGAGACAGAAGAGCAAAAGCTTTTTTTTACACCGACAAAAATTTCTTTATCTCTTCAAAGTATATCTGTTGGTATAAACGAACTTAAATTAAATCAAATAAATCAATTATTTAAATCTACACCTCGTCTTAAACAATTTTATGTATCTCTTGATCCCTCTAGCTATGGTGACTATAAACCATATATTCTTTCAACATTAATTCATTTGAAAATATCTATGTTTAATGTTGTTGAAAGCTTAATAATAAAAATTTTTCAAAGTACCCCTAATTTATGTCGTTTAAGTGTCGATTTATTGTTTAAATTAATCGATGGTCATCGATGGGAACAAATTATTCGTAATTATTTGCCCAAACTTCGTGTATTTCGACTTAAAATGCAACAGACACGTATTTTCAATCAAAATATGGAAGAACATGCTAATGAATTACTTAAGTCATTTCAAAATTCATTTTGGATTGATGAACATCAATGGTTTGTTCGATGTCTTATACAAACCAATACAATTGTTTTCTATACTTTATCCAAACCATTTCATTACTGCGAAGATGAACTTCCTCGCTCATTGATATCCACTCTTCCACACGATGATCATCAGGATTTTTATAATAACATAACTAACATCAATAATGGGACATTTTTTGACCAATCGATATTACCTCATATTCGTTTGACTAACATTAATTATCTTTGTATAAAACTACCCATTAACGATCAATTTTGGTCCGTTGTTCCAACTTTAAATCGACTGAGGTCACTAGCAGTGTCATCACATGTTGATACTTGTCATTCTCAATTACAAAATTTACTTGATCGTGCACCTAATCTTCATCATTTATGTATCCATCATGATACAACAGTACCTATACAAATGTCATTATTCAGATATACAAATACACCGGTTCGTCAACTTAATTTAACGGATTACAATCGTTATTTCAATGAAGAAGAATG